AGGTCAGGTCAGGATGCTGAAGGCCTCTGTTCATCACACGAAGCTGCTGTCCAGGAGCATAAGTGACATCCTTGCACCCATCTAGCCCTCTTTCCCACCTTCTCCCTCCTCACAATGCTCGTGCTCTCTGAAGTGGAGAATGGGAATGAAAGGGAGAAGAACAGTAGGACGTTCTGGGTGAGCTGCAGCCAGACAGAAAGCCTCATGTTAACATGCATGTGGATGAGGTGTGGGGGGACAGCAGATCCCATTCTTCCAATGCTGCTGCAGCCAGGAAGTGAAAATACCATGCTGGTACCTCTGCACCAGTATCCTAGATGTCTCATAAAGTTAAACTGGAATCTTTCTAATCTTCTATACCCTTTGTTACTGAGAGGAAGGAAATGTGGTTAAGAGGGTGCAAAAGAAGGGTTAACACCTTAAATCCCAAGATGAGATGGGGAAGCCTGGAGGCCCCTCAGCACTAGTAACCTCTCACCTCCTGGGCCTATTTGCCTTTGGAGGTACCTTTCCAGAGAAAACCATACTTTAAGGAGCATGTGTGACAAACTGGTCAGTGAGATTCTTTTGTTTGTTTCTGTCTTTCTTCCATAAAATTGAGGAGAGGGAAACGGGTGTCCCCAACAAGGCCTTCGCACTACGTGCCACCCTCAATCCCAGCTGGCTAGGATCATGAGTAGATAGAGGTACACAAGTCTGATATGCTCAGAGAGGTCCCGTTTGCGATCCAGAACCTTCTCACATGGGTCCAGTTGTGTTACTACTGCACCACCACTTGGTCCACTAGGATTCTTCTTGATATTCCAGACTCAAGGCCCTGTCTGAAAAGACACAGGTAGACAGTCGCTAACATTTGGGCCATGATACCTGCCTCAGACTTTGCTTAGGGACCTGAGAACCAACCTTGCTACTGCCAATCAAAACCATAGTCTTGTCTTTCTCCTACTTCCTCCCTCCATTCTAGGAAGGAGCCAGTTCAGGAGCTAACAGAAACACGATTGGAGTACAGTGCTACAGTGATGGAAGATTCTCTCCCACCTCCACCCTTCCATTTTCCTGAAGCCAAAAAATTACTCACAGATGCAGGGCAATGCTATGAAAGGGACTTACTAGAATCGCATTTCCTTGTTGAATGCCTTTGGGGACAGAAGACATAATGATCTCACTCTGGACCTAGAAGGCAAGTAGAAAGAGAATCCGAGAGAAGTGCCAGGGTGTGTTATACAACCTGAAACGCCAAGCACTGCCTTGACAACTTTGAGCCTCACAGGGCCCCAAAGACACACCTATGAGTTCCCCTGCCTCTCCCAGATATGCCTTACACCCACTAAGTCCCCATCCAGCTTGTTCCTCTTTTAGCTAGATCGGCTGCACACCTCCTGATCTCCACCTAAAGGGTGTCATATCTCTGCCAGCTTTCAAAATTATTCAAATAAGGCAGTCATACCTTTCCATGGAAACCAGAGATTCTCCTCCTCTGATTACTACAAAGCTTTCTTCTACAGGTCTTTACTGTTTTCCAATTGCAAGAGGGTGTGTGTACTCACCACAGGGAGCTGAGAAAGAGAGACAGAGAAGGTGCCCCCTCCAGCGAGGTGTGGTCACACTGCAACACTATTTCTTCCATTTATCCATCCAGTCATAGTTTGGGGAACACACACACATATATGTCGGGCATGTTTGTAAAGTTTCTGAGGCCAGGACTCAAACTGCCATCAGCCATGTGGAATCTGGCTCCCTATGCACAGAGCTTAACCACTGTACTATGGGGCCAGTCCTCTCCTGCAGCTCTTTGCAGTTCACTCAGTTTTGAATGCAAACCCCACTGGTCCTACGTGATGTCCTCCTCCTCCCCCTGCATGAGGACACGTCATGAATAAACTGATCTCATCTGTCCAGTGTCAGATGTGTGTGTGTCGCCATGTTATACCGTTAGGGACAGCAACCTCTCCATCAGGGTGAAGAGGTGGTGAGCGGAAACATAGGTAGATGGCATGACAAAAGCATGTTCTTATAATGGAATAGAATCCAACTGAATGTGCTGACTTGAGACAATTTGTGGGTTTTCTACCTAAGGACAGACTGCTGAGCAAGGAGGCAGGGTGCCCAGCAGCAAGAGTTCGTGTGCATGGATTCTTCATAAGGTTTGTGGAAAAACAGGATTAAGGTACAAGCTAATTTTGGTGCAAAAAAAAAAAAGAAATCGATAATGTAGTTTTCTTATTACGCACATGTTCCATGAATTTTTTGAAGGCCCCTCTCATGTCTTCTTGAGGCAGACTCTGAGAAAGAGGGAACCTTGCATTCCCAAGTCAAGGAACTGTTCAGGAGATTTTGCAGGGCCTTGTGCAGAATGCATGTGTGTCCCAGGACTGGCATTTAGATGCCTACCCCACACAAAGATCTGTCAGCGAGAGCCAGAGAAGCATTTCTTGGTGACTATAAACAAGGTTGGCAATTAAATTGCACTTTTTCTTTCTTTCTTTTCTTTTTTCTTTCTTTTTTTTTTTTTTTTTTTTTTTTTTTTTTTAAAAATTTTTCTTCACGGCCACACCTTGCCAGAAAGAGAGATAGAAAGTAAGAAATCACCCCCCCCCACAGGGGGGATGGCCACATCACAATCCCTTCTCCATTCTCCTCTCAGGATCTTGGGCACGCACGCACACCCGCCCAGTGTGAGTTTAAGCCACCGGGTCTGGGACTTGAACTGCGGTCGACTACATTCCAGTGACATAGCCATTACACCATCTGCTAGTCTCTTTTTTTTTCTTTTTTGTCTTTTTCCTTTTCGTCTTCTTTCTTTCTCTTTTTCCTTTTTGCCTTCTTTCTTTCTTTCCTCCTTTCTCTCTTTCTTTCTCTGTTTCTCTCTCTCTCTCTCTTTTATTTATTTTTTTTTTTTTTGTTTTACTTGTTCCTTTCTCACATATACAAAAAAGACAGGAAAAGAGTGAAAGAGAGAGAACCTGTGACCCCCAATAGTTTCTTGATGCCGAGATCTAATCTCAGCCCCAGCCAGCCCAGGATCACAGACATGCTTGCCTCTCATGTCCAGGGAGGTCTCCAGATACAAACCTAAAATCCTCACACTAGCCCAACCTCACAGAGTGTTTGCCTCATTACTACACCACTGCCTGGCCCCAACAGACACTGTTGTCTGTCCTTCTTCTTAGTCATCTCAACACTACAAGGAGCTAAGTCATGTAGCAGTGAAGAGAGCTCAAAGCCAAACCAGCTCTTCCCCCCAACCAGTTTCCAAAGTGGCTGAAGCAGGAGAGGAAAATAATGAAATAGCAGACCCACCTCTCTCATCCTCACCCCCAGCACACAGAGAGCAGGAGAAAAATCAAAAGAACAGACCACTGTCACCACTGATCTCTGTATCCTGCAAGGCACAAGTCTAGCCATTGACAAAGTCAGCAGAGTTAGGAGAGGGATGTCAACTTTTAATCATTGAAAGAGAAAGAAACATTACAGAATCTGCCCAAAATATCTGTAACAGAGGCAGGAAATAGAAATTCTGCAGCGCCTGGCTAGAAACAGAAGTTGGAGGGGAAAATCAAACTGTTTATACCCACCCAACTGTGCTAAAAGTGATCAATAAATAGATTACATACAAATAGGATTTTGTAAAATTGTTTACCTCTTCATGGAGTCCACCCAGCAACATTTAAGGATTTTGTTCAACCTTCAAAAGTGAGAGCTTTGTTCACATGTTCAAAATTGTTTTAAGCGTGCTTGCAGGGGACTGTACCTGCCATTTTTAGGAGCTCAGCAAGCATTTGTGCCATGAGGATGACTCGTAGAGGAGGACAGGCCTCGTTTACAAAGAAAGGGGCTAGCTAGGAATGAGGCCAGAGTCTCAACTGGACGAAAACAAATTTTTTTCTATGTACACAAAAATTATTTGCTCTTATTTAGGCAAGAAAAGGCTTCCCCAGCCAGGTCTATAAGACAGAGAAGAGCAAGGAAGAAATACTACATTTGTCTGATGATTTAGACCTGTGCCTTCTTAGACACCTGGAATGTCAGAAGAACAATAAATCTGGTTTCATCTCTGATATACCCTTCCTATTTTTTTTATTATGCCTCTTCCGTACACCCAACCTCATACGATGTCCCCTGTGAAGCACCCAGAGACATCTGGGAATGGACTCCAACCCCTGTACCTCTGAGGAACTTGTGAGAAACCAATGACGAACGTCAGCGGGTAAGGGACGAAGTACTTCCTAAGGCTCTGGGCATTAACCTTGTCACACCAAGAGCAAAATGCAGCTTCCCCCAGGCCTCATTCAAGGCCCACATCTTCCCAGCTCCCAGTTCAGAGACAGTCTCCACGGGACTCTTTAAGTCTGGGTGAGGGAGTAGTGTGAGAGCTTCCAAAATGGTTTAATTAACAATCACGGTATGAAGCGGGCGTGGAATTCCAAACGTAATCTGTAGTCATCATAAGACAGCCCATAAGTAGCTGAAATAGTGAGATCCCAACAGGAGACCTCAGACCCAGGGAAGGAACTGACTTGCTGTTCATATGAAAGTATGATGCGACCCTCTTCATTTGAAGACCTGTGTTATCACTGGCTTATCTTCATTGAGCTTGGGTCTGTGATCATTGCTAGCCACACCTTCATTCCCTAGGGGAAGAGAAGAAGTATGAAGAACTATGGAGAAGGAAAGAACATAAAGATACATAAAATATGATGGCTATAATTATTTAGCTATATATGCAGATGCAGATACTTCGAATTTTCACAGAAAAATTGCATTAAAGTATGAGTTTATTTTGAAATATTTGAAATGCGTGCATAGTTTTTCATAATATGCATTTTCTATCAACTTTTTGGAAACTCCTCCCATAATCATTTCACTATAAATGCATATATTTAGCCTTTGGGGAAGGGCCAGCCTGTATTCTTTCTATCATTAATAACTTCAGATCTGTTTTTATAGGCTATTGGGGTTCTCCTCAATGAGATAAAAGAAGCTAGAAAGAGGAGAGGTAGGAAATTCTTCTCAATGAAATCAAAGAAGCTGTACATGGAAAAGGTAGGAAAAGAGTAAGGAAGGGTGGGAGGCTTGAAAAACTGGGACCCAGAGAGAAAAAATGACCAATCAAGCACTTAGGAAGTGATGACCAAGAATCACAGAGAGGGAAGGGCATTGTTTGACACCTCAGTGTACTCAGGTGCCCCGAGCCAACCACCCACCCTCCACGAGAATGAAAAATGCACAAGGACCACACAGAGGGTTTATGACAAATGACCTTCCAGTCTTCACCCAGGTAGAAACTGAGTTATCTGCACACGTTCTGCACCTGCTGACCAGGGACAAGGCCCAGTCCGTGCTTTCTAACCGTGGCAGAGTATTCTACCAAACGCAATTAATGCCCCCTCTATTAATAGACATTTAGTGTGGTGTCAGTCTTTTTCTGTTGTCAACAATGCCGAAGTGACTAAACTTCTTCAAATGCTTTGTGAAAGGATGAAGCAACATGGATGAGTCCTACGCACAGTGCTCAGGGAAAAAAGTAAGACAATTAAATATAAAATACAATAACTTCATAAACTGAAAATGTGTGCTTATGAAATCAACAAATTTCAAGAATACATGCAACATAGATACAAAACAGATACTATAATAGAATGATTGTGCAAAACTGTAAGAGAGTTAAATCATCTCTATTGTAACAGGAAGTTAATTGATTACTTAAATTTGATAAATTAAGAAGAAAAGTAGCATAGAAATAGAGATGTAAATACCAGAAAGAGAAAGCTAAATGAATTGTTTCTAGGAAGTAGTACTTAGGAGTGAGAAGGGATAAAGCAGAAAACAGTTGTTTTTCTTCGTAAGCTTTTGATATTGTTTGATTTTAAACTATGGGCATGCATTACCTTCATAAGAATAAAATTTTAAAATAAAAGTAATAAAAGTCAAAGCTAAATAAATACCCCTAAGGGCAAAGCAATGGAAAATAATGTTAGTCAAAATTTTGTTTTAATGCCAGCGCATGTACACGCACGAAAGGGAGAGAAGGAGAGAGACAATAAGCACTCCTAGACAGCCTGGTCACCCCACAATCCTTTTCCTCTATTTCTCCATGCAGTCAGGATCCTGGGCATTTGTTCACATGCCCTGAGTGATCAGGTGTGACCTGGTTCCCTCCATGCAGTGTTTAACTGCTGCATTGTGGGACTGACCCAGAAATCATGTATTAAGATGTTTCATTTCAGGGGCCAGGAAATGGCACAGTAGAAATGCAAGTGAACCCATATGGGAAAGGTCCTGGGTTCACATCCTGGAATCTTCCTGAACATGCTATGTGTGCATACGCCCATGATCTGGGCCAGCTGACACTGGGGTGAATTGTGGTGTGAAGACTGTTGGAGGTACCTGTCTCTCTGTCTCTCTCTTTCATGGAACTAATAAATAAATGGACTTTAACCGAAAAAAATATTTTTTTAATTATTTCTCATTTTAAGAGCCAACACATGGAGCAATAGTTAGATGCCGGACTCCCACATGGCTGACCATGGTTTGAGTCCCAGTCCCAGAGACTTGAAAATCACACTGGACATGTGTGCATGCATGCCCAAATCCCAAGAGAAGAATAGAAGAAGGAACTGCAGCACGCATGGCCATCCCCCCGAGGGACGATTTCTCACTTTGCCTCTCACTGTGTCTCTTCAATTAGTGCATGTGCCTGTCCTATGGCAACTTAAAAAAAAGTTATTTCTAATTTTAAATCTAAGGGAACTTTTCAAGAGAGTATGTAACTAAATTTCCCTCTAGGAAAATTACATTACTTCAGTAATAAGTAAAGCTGCTCTTTGCTCTTTTCCTTATATCCTCACTAACATTAGAAATTAACTTTTTTTAAAAGCCTCATTGTGGGATTAGCTTGTGCCACAGCGATACTGTGATGATGCTCAGGAGGAGCCAGATCTCACATGGAGACCAGCTTGAATTCCTAGCCCCATCAACCTGAAACACACCAGGAATGCACTTCAGTGCCCAAGATCCAACAGGCTAGAGGACCAGAGGGAAGGGATCCTGTCATGGCAGGACCCTGTGGAGGGTGCTCACCTCTCTCTCTACTCTCCTGTGTAACTGCACACACTCTACCATAAATAAAGGAAAAAGTCTTCATGGTAGACTTTTGAAAAAAGTCAGAAAATGCCTTTTTCCTCATCTGGGATATGTATGGCACTACCCACCAAGGCACACATAGCAATCCCAGCTACTAATGGGGAGGGAGGTAACGTGCAAAATGAAAATGCAGGGTTCCCTGTTCAAAAGCATGAAGAGTTTCAAGTAGCACCAGCATTGCATAAAACCAAATTCAGGATCCTTCTAAACACAGGTCCCTGTGCAACTCCTGGTCACGTGCCCACACAGCTGGCTCTGAATACACTTAGATAACCTGTTATTGAGTTTATGGAGGTGAAAACCCTGAGAATTTTCCTCCTTTTTTTTTTTCTTTTCTTATTTTTTTTTTTTTAGAGTTTTTTTGCTATAGGGTGCATGAGCTCGCCAGAGAGACAGAAAGCAAGAAATCACCCCCCAGGAGGATGACCATGCCACAATCCCTTCTCCTACATTCTCCTCTCAGGATTTTGGGCACGCACACACATGCACCCAGCATGAATTTCAAGCCTCCAGCTCTGGGACTCAAACCGTGATCAGCCAGGAATCCAGCAATGTAACCATTATGCCATCTACTGGTCCTGAATTTTTACTTTCAACAAGAACAATAGGTCTCTTTAATAAGAGTTCTCAAAACTATACTTTAGGAAATCCTATACTATACTCTAGATTCACTCATAAAGCAAGAGGACTGAGGGGCACCTGTTGGTAACAAACACAACATTTAGCTGCCTAGAAAAAGTGCAATTAACAGTAGAGCACTTTTTTTTTTTTTTAGAGGCTTTTCCTATAGTGCGCATGCACTGGCCAGAGAGAGACAGAGAGACAGAAAGCGAGAAATCACCCCCCGGGGAGATGGCCATGCCACAATCCCTTCTCCTCCACTCTCTTCTCGGGATCTAGGGCACGCACGCACACATGCCCAGCATGAGTTTTAAGCCACCGGATCCGGGACGCCTACCACAGTCGACTGCATGGGAGTCCAGCGACATAGCCATTACGCTAACTGCTGGTCCCAACAGTAGAGCACGTTTAAGCCTTAATTTACTGGTGACGTGATGAAAGCGTCAGATCATTTTCCAAAAGACAAGGGCATCACAGTTCCACAGGTGGAAGGAAGGTCCTGGATGAAGGTTTGGTACATCAGGCTTGGTTACAAAAGAGGGACACTGTCTGGCAAGGTTGAAACAAAATTTTAGTTCTTATGCCTGGAATAGACCAAATGGATCACAGGAATGGAAAACCAAGCCAGGGAAATGCCTTAGTTAATGTATGAATAATCCAATCACTATTTCCTGAGCCTTTCTCCAATGAGGTCACAATGCAGTGAGCAACCTAATTAAGTTGATATCGGTAAATTTATAGTAGACTTATGTCAATGATACCACAGGACAAGAGTGGAAGCATAGCAAAGAAAAATAGGGTGGGGAAAGAGGAAAGGAGAGGTCTCTCAAAGGAAGAGTAGAAGTTAGAAAAGAAAAGGAGAACAATTGCACTAACAAAAAAGTCAAAGAACAAAGGGAAAGGACATGTTGGATTAGGAGAACAAGGAGAAACAATACTCTATAGTGTTTAAAGTGTAACATCAAAGACAAAAGACCCTTAGCAGAGCAGGGGCACCATGAAAAGGGGTTATCAAATTAGGGTTGCCCTACCAACCCTATGGGGCCTGAATGTGGGAAGACAGACAAGAAATGCTGCTGCTTAGCAAGATTAATCCTGCTTGCTTCAAGCCTAGAGAGGCCTGGGAATCCATCCTGGAGTCAAGATTCTGGGTATAGAAGTAGACAGTCCACCTGCAAAGAACCAAAGTGAGACTTCAACAGAGTGAGGAGGGAAGTGAGACTTCAACAGAGTGAGGAGGGAAGGCTGAGAGCCCTTCCTTTCTAAATTGTCCTTTTCCCTCAGATGTGTTAAAAGAAACACTTTAAAGAAAATGAATGTATTTTATTACTATTCATTTTATTTTATTTATTTCATACATTCTATCACTGTATGTCCTTACAACCTGTAAAATGAATTTTCCAAGCATAAATACACTGTATATTAGTCCAGGTAAAGGTATTATCATATATGTTTTCATCAACAGATAATGCATTCAACAGATCTTATGTAAACAAAGGACAACTCATGAATCAAGCAGCACTGCAAACCAGAAGAGGTTCAGAGAGCTCCTTCCCGCAGTGTGAGCAGCAGCTATTACAGGCTGGGTGCAAACACAAGGCAAAGCAATCACTTGATTGGCTACAGCTAGACATTTGCCTTATTTGGGTATGAATTGATGGTGGCTCCCTAGTTATATAACTAATTAGCTAGTTGCTGCAGTGATCACTAAAGCTTCATTCAAAATGAATCAGTTACACGAAATGATGCTAAGGTTAAGTTCTGTTTGTTTGCATAGAGGTTGCAGGTATGGAAACAACCCCAGGAGAACAACTTCTTGCTTATGTTGCTTTAACACATGGTATGAGCATGAACTCATAGACTGACATCCATGTGAGCATGTCATTCAAGCCAAGGTGGGATGGACCTGGAACAACCCAGCCCGCATCCACCAGAGCTCCAGCTCTGGTGTATCAGCACTGGGCTATCTCACTGGATTAAAAACAAAGCACCGACTTCCACTCTTTCTCTGAAAATAATGCCTATCTGTAGACAAATTGTTTTTTTAGTGTGATTTTCTTTTGTGTTTATCCAGTTGTGTAATTTTTTGTGTTCAATTATCATAAATTACTTAGAAGATGATTTAATCTAGGCCTGGCACCTTCGAACGTATTTGTTTTTGAAGACCCCAAGAGAAGTGGCCATGGGTTATTTTTGCTGCGGAGTCATTTACACATTTATCATGTTGATATTTACAGAGGATTATCCTCTATCACCTATTTGAATGTGTGTTTACAGAACAAGACTTCCTTCAGGCCCAGAGTTTATGTATAAATATCTTGTTCCATCATAGCCCAAGATTATCCCATTTATTTTCCCATTTTTTTCTCTAAGTGCACCACCTTCATGTACACATTTGCTGTCTTAAATCTTTGACAAATAGGAATATCTCCATCCTGCTTATTGCTACTGAGTTTCCTTTTCTGCGGTATTTTCATTTGTACATCACACTGTTTTGCTATGCTTTGAGACTTTTTTAAAGATATATTTTGTTATGGGATGAATATGCTTGCCAGAGAGACAGGAAGTGAGAAATTACCCTTACCCCAGAGAGATAGCCAGGCACAATCGCTTCTCCTCCAGTATCCTTTTAGAATTTGGGGCACACAAGCCCCACCAGGACCAGGATTCAAACCATAGTTGACTATGTGGGAGTCCAGCAACATAACCGTTATGCCATCTGCTGGTCCTAAGTGTCTTCCTTAATGTGGTATTTGGAAAGTTCCCTAGTGACGTCTCCCTTATACAGAACTACCTCTAGACCACACAGAAGGAGTTTCTAACATTTGGAGGTGGATGACTATAGTCACTCAGAGTGGGACAAAGGACATGATTTGGCTAACTAAGGCCATAGTAAATTGGGAGTTATCTGAGCACACAAAGTCACTTCTCAGCCCACCCGCACCCAGACCTCACAACTGTCACTACAGCCAAGATTGCAAGAGTAGCTTTTTCACTCTTCCAGATACTTTAAATTTTGATACAATGTATTATTTTTTGGAAGACTGACCTTAACATTGACGGTGATGCAACTTCACTTGAATAAAAACATACCCACATGACTAATAAAACAAAGGAGCACCTGGAAGGTAAGGCAGTACTGACAGAAGTGTAGTTCTGAGTGTTCTGAGGAGAGACACATCTCATCCTCACAACCACCCTCTTATTCAGAAAGCCTTACAAAGACTCAGCATGAGATAATAAGCTTATTATGTTCACAGACCTGAAAAGAGACTTGCCTGATGGGGAAAGAGGAACCAGGATAATGGGACATTGGTCTCACTGGTAAAGCAAGGCTGTTGAAGAGCAATATGATGAAGCAAATAGACAGCAACAGGAACAGGGGTGTCATGTGATCAGAATAGTCCCACCTCGAATGATCAGTTATAACTGTACCTTCATGTTATTCTATATATAAGGAACATCAAAAAATTTGCAGAAAAAAAATGGAATTCGAGTATGAGTTTTAGTGCCAAAATATTGAGATTTCTGAATAGTTTATTTTTTTCATAATATGCATTTTCTATGAACTTTTTGAAGATCCCGCTCATGTAAGGAACTTAAGACCCAAACAGTGAAGTGACTTGGCTAAGGTCAGAAAGCATGTCTTAGTAGCAGTCAACACCCAGTGTGGTCACTACTGCCCACTCCACTCTTGAGGTCTTCCTGAGCCCTTATGAATAAAAGATTGGAGTACAGAAAGCCTAAAGCCAGAGAAAGACACCAACTGAAAGGACCCTATGTGGGATGGAAAGGCTTTGGGAAAAACAATGTGTCAAAATTCAGAAAGTCCATGGGACCAGCAGTTAGCATAATGGCTATGTTGCTGAACTCCTATGTAGCTGACCACAGTTGGAGCCCCATACCTGGTGGCTTAAACTCACACCAGGCACGTGTACGTGCATGCCCAAGATCCCGAGAGAATGGAGGAGAAGGGATTGGGGTGTGGCCTCCGCCCCCTGCCCGGGGTGATTTCTCGCTTTCTGTCTCTCTGTCTTTTTCTGTCTTTCTGGCGAGCACACATGCCCTATAGCAAAAACCTCTCCAAAAAAAAAAAAATTCAGAAAGTCCAAAACTGAGGATAACGAAGGATAGAAACTGACTAATGGAAACAAAGTCCTATATCAGTCATTTTAACACTGTATGAATTTCTGGGTCAAGAAGTTGAGCAGAAAACAATCAACCCAACTTCTCAGAGCTTCTTTTTCACATAGAAGCTACAAATAAGCACACTGCTAAGTTTTAATATGTCCCCTCAAATTTCACATGACCACACCCATTTTAATAGGATTAAGACAGTGGAACCCTGATCCAATTTTGATGTCAAAAGGTAGGATTTTGGAAAAGAGATTAGGATTAAGGTCACCACAGTGGGGTCCCCATGACAGATTCCTGGTGGGTTTATTTTTTATTATTATTATTCATCCATTTATTTTTTTTTATTTGACCAGAAAGAAACAGAGAGAGAGAGGGAAAGGGAAAGTAAGCCATCCGGTCCAG